TTAAGCCAACGAACAACGCAAAAGGCATTTTGGAAAATCTGGGTATGGGTATGCGTATGCGTACCCCCACCCCATGTTCAAAACGCTCTGCCGCCTCTGATGGGGTCCATTGCGACTAATTTTGTGTCTCACGAAGTGTTTCGTCTTTAAGGGAAGGACCTGCTTTAGACTGAATGTTGCCTGAACCAACTGCTTGAGCTTCCCAGAGTTGATTTGGGACCAATTGTGAGATGACATGTTTATTTGGATGTCGTTTCTGATAGGTTGTACCCACCTGCACAATTGGTGATGTATTCTTCAATCTTTGCAGTCATCCCAGGATAGTAGACGGAGGAGGAGGAGGAAGAGGGAGGGGTAAGTAAAAAATGGTGTTTCATGCTTAAAACAGCTATTTTGCCTTAGTACTCTAGTAAAAATTAACGCAACACGCAAGGCGTTGACGGCGAAATTAGGCAGGGAAAAGCCAGCAAGGTTCGGATAGAACCCATTGGATGAGGCACCATGCCGAGGGGTTGCATAAAGGTAAGGTAAGGTGACGCCTTTATTTAAAGAGGGTAAACACGTGACCGTGAAAAAACTGATAAACTTGTGTCCCTCAAAGAAGCCCTCAAAGAAGATAATACCTATACTGCAAGGCGAGCGCGATTCACACACCCCTGTGGCGGAGATATGTCCTGGGGCAAATTAACCAAGTCCAGAAGAATTCTCATGCCCCCTCCTGACGAGGCATCAGCACAAAGTTGAAGGGATGGGGCAGGCAGCATTCCCCTGCCCGAAAACGCCAAGTAAAACGAGAAGTTCTTCGTCCACGGTTTTTACAGTTGATTTAATTCCTTTATCCTTGGGCAAAGCGGGTAAAGCCTAGTCCCAAAGGACCCTCTCTCCGCCTAAATGCAAAGGGGTGGTAACTCCAGGTCGCTTGTGTTCGGTAAGGTTAACGATGCAGGCCCCATCGAGGAATAGAATGGAGCGAGGCATTGGTTGAGAAAGAGGGGGTAGCTAGGTTGTGGGCTCGCAAGCCTAGACAGCAACAAAATCATTATGATAATAAAAATAAAAAAGTTTTCAAAGTTTTCGAAACTGTCCATGAAGTTGAAAGACAAAGCGGGACACCAATATGTTCTCGTGTAATGAACCCCTAAAGGCCCGTGCAAACGGACGCAACATTGTTGGCCAACAACTCCCAATATTGTTGGATGTTACATGTTACGTCCGTTTGCACACCCTGTTACATGTTGTTGGATGTTGTTGCGCAAAGTTTGAAACTAGTCAAACTTTTCAGCCAACAACTCCCAACAGGTCTTTTGTTTCGTGATCGTCGAAGCGTAACGCAACAATGTTGGATCCGTTTGCATTCGAATAAATACGGTAAATAGACCTGTGCTTTGATGTTAGATTCCTGGCATATCTAATCAAACAAAACCCAACAAAATGTCTATCAAATTCAATTGCAGGTAATTGTTCAATAATATTGTATTTCAGCAATTGAATAAAATCAACCACGGTTTTCTTCGTGAGTTTGATTATCGAACAAGTCGAACATAATCGAACTGAACCATTCGATTTTGTTTGATTTAACTTCACACAAATTGTTGACTACATCCAAATCATAGCCTTGATCTGGTCTGAGAAAGACTGATATGTGTATATATGTTACAGGTCAAATTTGATTTTAGGTTACAGGGGCGGATCCCGGATTTTTTTAGGAGGGGGAGCACTCGTCTCTTGCTCTACTTCAACACCAATAAACCACATCGTATTTTTTTGTTGTTGCAGAATACCAGTTGTATTAGAAATCTGCAGGTTATCTCAGAGGGGAAGGGGGGGTGCGCGCACCCCCTGCACCCTCCCCCTAGATCCGCCCCTGAGTTAATTTTGATTTAACCTAGGTTGATTCTCAATTTCCTTTGTTTCCTATGAATAACAAGAACACTCTTAATATCGGTGTTAAGTCTTGCTTGCTTGGAGATAAGATGAGAAATGAGGAGGCGATTAATTCAAGACGAAACAGGATTTACTTGCTGAAGGTTTTTCATTTCCTTCTTTATCAGCGGTCAAAGGTAATCATTTGATTAAATTCGATTAACTTCGATTTATTTTTGTTACCGAATGATTGATTAGATATGCCTGGTACAAGGGTCTTACTATAAAACACAGCTTCCCAGAAGCATGATGTTGGTCAACTTAACAAAAGCAATCACCAACACAGCTCACAAGGCTACCACAAAGTCGTTGTGCAATTAAATTTGTATGTTATAAATTATTATGAGATTTAAGATGAACCTTTGCCAATGTTACAGGTTACAAATTTGCACAAGATTGGATGATTTGTTTATAATCCATTGAATAACTTGCAACATGAGGAAGTTAAAATGATTCGTGATGTGGGTAAATGACGTACAGCGATTTTCGCTTTGGATAAAGGTGGTATGGCAGACGAATTTTCCTTAATTATAGTCCGACCAAGACTTTTATGTAAGCTCTTGATACCTCCGCGAAATCATAAACTAATGAAGCAAGCCCTCCTGATACAAACCATTGTCAATAGTGCCAATTTCACGCGCAAATGATTGACAAAAGTAAAAACGAAACTACGTAACTAAGCTTAAATTCACCAACATTGAGCGTCCATTTCCGCACGATCGTAAGGTTAAAATGGAGAAAAATCAAAGTAAATAAATCAATATGTAAAGAAACGTACTTGTACATTAAGGGAGACTTCTCTGTTGCACTCATGACAATAAAATCTCTCATTTTGTCTCTCCACTGCTGCTTCGGCCATCTTGATAATTTCGACATGGACATTGCGATTGCTATCAGTTTCGGGAAGGGTGACGTCATAAAACGGTGACGAGGATGCCGTCACAGGCCGTCACGTCGCTACACTACGGTATATCTTATATCAAGTACGTTCTGACGCCTATGTCAGAACAGGATGAAAATCTTGTAATCAATGAATCAACCCGCGTCCGGAGTCCATGATCAGGCTTTTCAGACCTTTTCCCCTAGAAAAAGGATCCTCTTCTAATAAAAGTCCTGTTAAACGTTCTTGCAAAATGACTGTTATTTTACACTGCTCCAACCCTAGTTCTACAAAATTCGATATTCGTGAATTAATGCTGAGTCAAGATTATTAGGCAAAAACAAGTTAGGTTGTAGTTAGGTTGTAAAGTTCATCAACTTGACGGAAACAGTTTTTCCCCCTCTCTCCCTACCCCCCCTCCCCCCCTCCCCTCCACCCCACCACAAACTAAACCTTCTTTAAATCCTAAGTGTGCGGTGCCCGTTTAACTGGGGAATTTGTCCGGCTGTAAATACCCTGGGTGGGGAAATAGTCTCCAGAAGGGCGGGGCACATATGAATTGGCTGTTAAAGGAAGGTTTGACATCAGAAAAAAATGTGAATTGTGTTTATTGTGCTGTCCATTTCCAGGAACACTAGCTGCCGAAAGGTTAAGCCCAGCCTTCGGACTGACTTTTAGAAGATTTTGGAGGTCACACATGCCTTGCCTATCAAGAATTGAAAAAAAACCTCGTATTTCAAGGAGTTGTGTGGGGCATAGGCAGCTAAGCAGGAGGGGGACAGGGACGTCCATGCCCCCCCTCCAAAAAAAAATTGGGGTGGAGCCGAAAAGCACTTTTACGGATGTATTTGACAATACCTGTGACATAGGCGACTTCAGAGCGCACATTTTCTACCAACAGACGACTCAAGAACTACCTAAGAAGCACCATGAAGCAGGATCGCCTGAACAACTGCCTACTGACGCATTGTCACAAATCGATTACGGACACACTAGACACTGTAAAGATTGCAAAGAGGTTTGCTTAAGCCAACGAACAACGCAAAAGGCATTTTGGAAAATCTGGGTATGGGTATGCGTATGCGTACCCCCACCCCATGTTCAAAACGCTCTGCCGCCTCTGATGGGGTCCATTGCGACTAATTTTGTGTCTCACGAAGTGTTTCGTCTTTAAGGGAAGGACCTGCTTTAGACTGAATGTTGCCTGAACCAACTGCTTGAGCTTCCCAGAGTTGATTTGGGACCAATTGTGAGATGACATGTTTATTTGGATGTCGTTTCTGATAGGTTGTACCCACCTGCACAATTGGTGATGTATTCTTCAATCTTTGCAGTCATCCCAGGATAGTAGACGGAGGAGGAGGAGGAAGAGGGAGGGGTAAGTAAAAAATGGTGTTTCATGCTTAAAACAGCTATTTTGCCTTAGTACTCTAG